TCAAACAAAGGTAAACTCCTTCCCCACGCAAAGGTGAAACATCAGCCACGGTAGGGCAGCAGTTTACTTTTAACCCACCAACTCCCACAGTGGAATCCACGTAGTTTACTTGAATGAATGAATTTCACTTGGAATTCTCAGTGCCGTGGAGGCAGTGAAAACCACGAGTGGTGTTGCTTACAGGCTTCGCGGATGAAATTCAGGAGAGGTAGTGTATAATCTGTGGCTTTCTCCTGCACCGATTTCTCCTCAGTGCTGCGTGTAGGGCTGTGGGAAGGAAGAAGGTGTAGGGTCCTCCGTCCCTGCCCCAGGAAAGTAGGTCACCTTAACCATTCTCCTGAACCCGTATTTATTTGAGGGCATGACTTCTGGACAGTGGGCCTCGTCAGGGATGTAGGAGAGTTTATTATCCAGGGCTGGACCGGGTCAGGATGTGCCAAGTTATTTACCTGAACCTCTATAGTTTTTCTAGGACTCCATTTAGCATCTCTTTAAAGACACTGCTTGTTCGCTTTTATCTTTTAAGACATCCTCTGAATTGGTCCCTGGCCCTGTTCCTTTCCCTTCTGACCATGGAACTAAAACACTGTCTCCCTCAGGGAGTCCTCTGAGTGCCCCCCCTGCTAGGACACCTGCAGGGAGTGGCCAGGCAGGGATTTGGGTGCCAGCCGAAGCAGCACAGGGTGTGGTGTGGAAAAGTGCTGCTGTACCAACAGGATTCCAAGACATTTACCTTCCCATGCCCTTCTCCAGTCTTGCTGTAGAATGGAGAAGCCGTTGTTTTTAAGAGCTGTCTTTTCAGAGAATAGAAACCAAGCGCCTTCGTGACCTTCTTGTGTAACTTCATCCTTAGAGAAAACCTGCTATTTTTTTCACTGTGAACAGTTTTAGGAAACTTTGTGTTAGCAAGAGAATCTCTCATTTTGCTTACAGAGGTAATTGCGTGATTTTATTTAGAAGTCCTGAGGTACATGGAAAGGAGACAAAGGCTTTATGCCCATTTCTGAGTTCTTGGTGGTCACTGGCACTCTCAAGAAAATGTGTTCACCAGAAACAGGATGATACACACATGTGTACGGCACTGGAGAGTGAGACTTCTCTTCTGACCTCTTGCAGTCGTAAAGGTGGCACTGATATCTGGTACCTCTGTACTTTTGTAAGATTATCATTTTCATGAGGAATCAGAGTGTGGCTGTCTTAAACTGGCTGTCTTGTTGATATCTGAATGACCATATTTAAGATTTTCCTTTTCATACTGCACACAGAATGACATGTGTTAGGGTGTTCATTTGCTAGCATTGTGACCTTGAACAGACTTTGGATCTCTTGAGTCTTATCCTCAAGTGGATCTAAATCTATCTCATAGTTATTAAGTATGTATTTTATTTGAAGTAAACTCAAACTCTTAATTGGGCTACAGGATTTCTGCGTAGGTTTGCACCTTGTCTTATACCATAGTCATAGCCCGGCCCTTCCATTCCTCAACATTCCATGCTGCTTTCCAACACCCAGCCTTGATACACTGGTTCCGTTAACTCTCAGTGTTACAGAACATGGAAGGTAAATGTGCACCAGTGGCTACTTGTGTGGGAGGTTTAGTCTTAGGCCTTGTAGCCAGTGTCCACCTCAGAGAACCTTCCTAAGTACCTTGGAGTAACAAATTGGCATGTGTCCTTCAGACATGCTGTCTAATTGTTCTCTTCTTTCTGCTCTGTTCTCATACAGGTTCATAGGGTAGTATGCCTGTGATGGCTACTTTCCCCTTTGTGTTCTTAACATCCTGTGGAACGTGCACACTGAGCAGGGACCTAGTGTGCAGAAAGTATATGTAGTACTCACCACACGAAAGAAGGAAGCTCGGTGTGTAGATATTAGGTAGCCTTTGATATTGTGTGCTGTTTGTCTTTGTCCCAGCTGATCTGCTCAAGTGAATACATCATGACAGTATCCATATGACCCAAACAGCCCTTCACAGAGAACTGTTTCCCTGTGGAGCCATAATATGTGTGAGTTTCTCATGAACCAAACTGGCTTAGGGCACAGATGGACAGATCTGGCTCACTTTCATAAGGGTGGTTATTTGTCAGTGTGGAAAGTAACTATTCTGTAGCATATTTCCTCATTGTTCCTTTACATAGCTTAGTGAAGTCAGGCCTTAGTTATCTGGAACCTCTTGGCAGCCGCAGTTTTCAACAGAGAATCAAGCAAGAAAGAAAAACCAATTTGTAATTAGACATGCCAGACATTTAGAAGATTGATTGCAGCAGTCTTTCATTGGAGTACAAATCTAGATTGAATTTTAACACTTTGATTTTATAGAATAGCTTTTTTAAAAGTTTTGTTTTATTTGTAAAGCAGTAGTTTCTGAGGTGAGATGAAAAATTGAGAGTGCATGTGACTAGGTTGATGTTTAGAATATAGCAAATGATGATAGTAATAATTAGTTTAAAATGTGCTTGGGTTGGTCAACAGGAATATGCTGAGGAACCAGCAATGTCTCTGTATGATGTAGACATTCTTCTTAAAGAAGCCAATATGAGAAAAGGGTGTAAGACAGTAGCAAGAGAAATGGGCATGAGAGGGGAAAGCAACTTGGCATCTGCATGGATAACTGGTAGTGTACAAGCTGCTGTATGTGTGGCAGGGGTGCACAGGTCACAGCATGGGTGCCAGTGGAGCTTGACTGTTGGCTTAATACTCTTAGATGGTGTGAAGTTCCTTGATGTGTATGAGGCTGTCTTCCTCTTTATAGCCACCACACTAAAGTATTGTCTTAAAATTATTGAAAAGGTTTTGAAGACTGATTATCCCATTTTCCCATAGCCAACTCTTGGACATTAGAGAAGAAAAGAAAGAAATGATGGAATATAAGATGTCTGAAGACCTTAGTGGCAGTGTGAACTTGTGTTTAAACTACCTCCTTACAAAGGCATAGGATTGCATGGCTCCTATTAGATAAAAGATTTTTAACAAAACTTAAGTCATTTAGTTTTGATCTTTATAATTACACAGGCTAGGTTGGTTTACTAAGTGCTTCAGAGAGCCATTCTTTGCTGTAGACATTATCCTGCCCATAGTGTCAGAAGTGTCAAATGGTTGAAGCAACTGTGTTAACACATGAGGTTAAGATAAGTTCTCATTGGTGATGTACTACTTTGCATGTGTGTTACTTTCCTTGTGCAAATTTTGCTTTGATATTTATAGTACATCATTCCAAAAGTTTAGCTTTGGGTTTTTTGTTTGTTTTGTTCCCCCCCCCCCCACCACCACAAGGTTTCTCTGTGTAACCTGTCCTGGAACTCACTCTGTAGACCAGACTGTCCTCGAACTCACAGAGATCTACTTGCCTCTGCCTCCTGAATGCTGGGATTAAAAGCATGTGTTACACCCAGCAAGCTCTGTTTTCAATTGAAATATTACCTTCTTCAATGAGTAATTGTCTGTTGCCATCCCTTTTAATGAAAAACAAAAACAAAAAACAGCTCCCGTATTTAGGGAATAATGTTACTAAATATCACAGACTGGTGGAATATATAAATAAGTAGGAAGTGTCTTGATTTTTGTGTTTTTATACATCTGTAAAATTGTAATTTCAGGCTAGAAGGAATTCAACAGATTATGATCAGACTTCATTCTTTTACAGATGATTAAATAAATAAGTAAATAAATTCAGACCAATGTTTATGCAGTTAGCCTATTTGTATATCAGTTCTCTATAGGATTTCAACATGGCATCTCATGCACATAACTCTTCTTGATATTGATACAAGTGGTTTAATTTAACCCTGGAAGTTGGGCATTTGTACTTCTGTCATCATGGACAATCGCCTGGGTTTGGCTAGGGGAGATATAGAAGCAGGGACAGAAAGAGCCCATGCATCAGTCTGGAAGTTGTTTGGCCAGGGGAATCCCTTGTTCTCTTTGAGTTGCTGGAACTCACACCTGTAGAAACTTCTTAGAAAGGGAGGAAGCAGTACCTGTCTGGTTTTGTCTTGTGTGTCAGAAAATGCTTACTCCTAAGTATTTGGTTTATAGTCTGGCTATGTATAGAATTTTAGGTACAGTTTACTCAGAAATAGGTTATGTGGCACTCATGGATTAACCCTAAAATCTCAGTGTGTTATGAAGAGTGACAGTTGGCTTTTTGCTTTCCTAGTTTTTGGAGGCATGGGATCCTTGTGACTTCTTTTGGGTCTGTCTGTTCTTCTTCAGTTGCTGTCCTATGACTCCAGGCAAGTGGAGAGGATAACAGGTTGATTCACTGTTAATCCACTACCCAGAATCCACCCTGTAGTCTTGCAAGAATGCCAGGGAATGTGGACGATTCAAGGAGAGCCACTGAACTATTGTGGCGATGGCCTTGGAGGTTTGAAAGCAATGCCATTGTCTCCGGCCTTCACTGTTACCTTGGGGCAGCTACCGCTTGTTTATAGTAGCTGTGTGTCTTCAGAAGTCTTTTGTTGTTTTTGTATTATCTAGTAAATACTAAAGCTTCTCAGTGGTATGTCTCGTCCTTATTCTTTTATTCATAGAATGTAATATTCCATTGATTTTTAAACTTAAAAGACTTTAAACTTTCCTTTGTAATTCCTTCCCCTAGTTTTTATGATTTTTTTTACTTCTCTGAAGCTCTTTGTTGGCTACAGGAAGTCCCGGATTGATTGATTTATTAGTTATTTTCTCAGTTTTTCATGTCAATCTTTTGGGGGCGTTTTTTGTTGTTATATATAAATGTTTCACAATTAATTTTGGCTTTATTGCCCTCCTGCACCTCTTTAAAAAAATAACCTTGGACTTGTTTCAAATTTGTGATCTTTTCTCAGGCCTATTTCTTTCTTCCCTTCTACGACTGAATTTACTTACTTATTTTTTTCAGTGCTGGATCTGGAAAGCAGGAATTGGCACATACTCGGCAGGTGTACTATCACTGAGCTGGGTGCTGCAGCTCAGGCTTGTCTCTACCAGTTCACATTGTTCTCATGGGTCATACTTTTCTTTTGCTTTCAGGTTTTCATTGTGTATGGGGGAATGGTAGTATGCTCATCAGATTTTTGTCAACTGGACACAAGCTACAGTTATTTGGCAAGAGGAACTCGAAATTGAGAAAATGCCTCCATAAGGTTTGCCTGTAGGTAAGTCTGTAGTACAGTTTCTTGATTAATGATTGATGTGGGAGGGCCCAGCTCTTTGGGAACAGTGACAGCTCTGGGCAGGTGGTCCTGGTTGATACAGTTATTTGGGAAGAGGAACTCTAAATTGAGAAAATGCCTTCATAAGGTTTGCCTGTAGGTAAGTCTGTAGTACAGTTTCTTGATTAATGACTGATGTGGGAGGGCCCAGCTCTTTGGGAACAGTGACACCTCTGGGCAGGTGGTCCTGGTTGATAAAGAAGGCTGAACAAACCATAAGGAGCACTGGTAAGCAGTGTTTCTTCATGGCTTCTGTTCCAGTTTTTCCAGGTTCCTGCCTTGAGTTCCCACCCTGATTTCCCTCTGTAATGGACTGTGATCAGAATGTGTAAGCCAGATAAACCTTTTCCTTCCCAAATTGCTTTTGATCATGGTATTTTATCATAGCAATAGAAACTCCAGCCAAGAAGGTAGCAGTTAACATGTATGCTCATTTTTGTTGGCGATGGAGATTTTTGTTGCCGCTTGTTTTTTGAAATAGTTTTGCTATCTTGTCAAGACTGGAACTCACTGTGGTCTAGGCTGGCTTCAAACCCTCATTCTTGTGCCTCAACCTCTCAAGTGATAGGATTATAGGCCTGTATCACATACTCTGCTCAAAAACTATATGGTTAATAAATCAGGACCTCACATAAAACTAGCAGCTAGCTGGTGTAACATGAATCTTAAAAGGTCTTTTTAATAAAAACAAAACCAGGAGCCAGATATTGGGGTGAACACTGAAAGATCAGAGAAACAGAACCAGCCACAGCTAACCTCACATCGCCAATTCCTCAGCTGATCTCATTTCCTCAAACTGGAAGCCTCTCAGTCCTCATCTGAATGGATCTCAGCTGAACTGTTGCTCCAAAGCCTGAAAGCTTAACAGAGGCTCTAGTTCCTGGTTCTCACGACTTATATACCTTTCTGCTTCCTGTCACCACTTCCTGGGATTAAAGGCGTGAGTCACCATGCCTGGTTGTTTCCAGTGTGGCTTTGAATTCACAGAGATCCAGAGGGATCTCTGCCTCCAGAATGCTAGGATTAAAGGTGTGAGTGCCACCATTTTCTGGTCTCTATGTCTGTCTAGTCATTGTTCTGTTCTCTGACCCCAGATAAGTTTATTCGGGTACACAGTGTTTTGGGGAACACAATACCACCACAAGCTGGCTTGCCCCCCACCCCTCCTTTTTCCCCCTTGTGTTAGAGCTCAAACCCAGGCCTTGGTTATCCATGTTAGGCAAGCAAGCACTTGACCACATTCTGCATCTCCTGCCCAAAGCCTGTTAAGCTGCACTGGGCAACATGAGTAGTTTAAGTTGTATTGTTTTGGAGAGGCCAGTCGGTGGACATGTGGAGATAGATGACAACTTACAGGAATTGGTTCTCTCCTTTCACTGGTTAGGTTCTGGGGACTGAAACTCAGGCCATCAGGCTTGGCAATGTCAGCATCTTTTACTTGTTAAGCCAACTCACTAGCCCAAGTTGGATCATTTATTTAGTAAGTAGACGCCGGGCATGGTGGTGCACGCCTTTAATTCCAGCACTTGGAAGACAGATGCAGAGGCAGGTAGATCTCTGAGTTCGAGGCCAGCCTGGTTTACAGAGCAAGTTCCAGGACAGCCAGGGCTACCAGAGAAACCCTGTTTCTAAAAACCAAAACAAACAAACAGACAAAAAGGTAGAAGGAGACCTCATCTTTGGGAATTCTCAGTAATTGATTATTTTAGATAATTTGTTTACAAAGCAAGCAATCTTTTTATGAGATTGTTAAATTTTTTGCTTAGTAGGGTTGCATTGTTTAAATGATTATTATTACTCTCTGAGATCCTCTGAGCTCTAATGATTAATGGATAAAATTTAATAGTAAATCTTCTGTTATTCTAAAATCTCAATTTAAGTGTAATTTAGAAAATGCAGGGTTTTTTTTTTACATAAAGCTCATAACTTATGGCAGAGATAATAAGAATTATGTGTTCTATACGGAAAAACATTTGAAAGATGAACAAATTTCTTTTTAGATTGTAGTTTCTGTATGATCTATAGACTTCAGCAATTTCTTTCTTTTTAGTCATTATTTGTATGTCTGTGTTGTCTTTCAGAATCTGAGTTAAGTGCCAGGGAGTAGTGGCAGTGGTGGTGATTGCCTTTAATCCCAGCACTTGGGAGGCAGAGGCAGGCAGATGTCTGAGAGTTCATGGCCAGCCTGGGCTATAGAGCTAGTTCTAGGACAGCCAAGGCTACACAAAGAAACCCTGTCTTGGAGGGAAAAAAAAAGGAATCTGAGTTAAACTTTTTGACTATAATGGTTTGGTATATTGAAGAGATTTTTATTTATGAGCAAATTACATCTCTAGAGAAAATGCAAATTCTTGAACAAATCACATAGTAGCATTATTTTGCTGTACTACCTCTGCTCCAGAATAAAAACAAGCTGGCAAAATATAGATCTTTGGATTTTTATGTAATTGTTCAGTTTGTCCAGAATTCTTAAAGAACTTTATCTACTTGGCAGCTTCATCAGAAAAGTCACACTGATTTTGTGGGCAGTGAAAATGGTGAGCATTTTGGAGAATGTAAAATATTTCAGCTAACACCATTCTGTTGACATTTATTAAAATGTTAGTTGATTTTAATTTTCAACTGTCAGTTTTATGTATCAGTAAATTCTATTAAACAGTTACATTTTTAACAGGGGACAGGGTTTATGACATTACATAACTTATCACTGAGTATTACAATAGATCTTTTCAAATAGTCAGCTGTAATTGTGCCTTAGTCAATAAAATGGGTATATGGGGATCGTTAGGATTTTGATAGTAAGTTGGGTAGCATGCTCATGATTTCCTTTATCAGTGTTACCCAGGTGCCACTGGTTTATTATTGAGGAAACAGTTTGTTGAAATGTCTGTTAGTTGTTTTATCTGGCCCAGGTATGTAGGTGTGTTAGTTACCATGTATTTTTAGTACAGTTATCAATTTCCAACATGAAAACTGGTGTTTTCCATTGTGACACTGTCCAGAGTAGCACAGCCCCCACGGGTAGGAGCTTAGTCCACAGACTTTCCCCATTCAGATGCCAGCTTGACATCCTGGCCGGCTCTGCCGTGTTGCTGACTGGCCATTAAGTCAGAGGTTCCTAGTGAGGACCTCTTCTGATTAGTTAATTTGTAGAACTCAGTAAAAGACTTAGTTGACTGATTTATTATAAGGATTACATGCCAGGAACAGCTGGGGAGAAAGGCTGCATGGGATGAGGTGTTGTGTGTGATTTGCAGCTCCTATGCCCTCTTGACATGCCCTACTCCAAATACTTATTGTGTCCAGAAGTTGGTGATCCCGTTACTGAGTGTGTATAGTGTCCAATCAGTCTTTTAACTCATCCCTTCCCTCTATGATGTCGGGGTGGGGCTAAAAGTTCCCACTCTGTAATCTAAGTCACTTGATTGGTTTAAACTCTGGTGTGCTTGAAAGTCACCTGCCATATCTAGGAAGATACTTTAATCATTCAGGAAATTGTAAGGTTTACCATAGCCTTCATCTTTAAAGCATGCAGAGAGACTTGTATGTTTAACTTGCAGAGCAAGTTTTACATGCACTTTTCTTTTTTTTTTTTTTTTTTTTTTTTTTTTTTTTTTGAGACAGGGTTTCTCTTGTGTAGCTTTGTGCCTTTCCTGGAACTCACTTGGTAGCCCAGGCTGGCCTCGAACTCACAGAGATCTGCCTGGCTCTGCCTCCCGAGTGCTGGGATTAAAGGCGTGCGCCACCACCGCCCGGCTTTACATGCACTTTTCTAAGAATCTTTTATTATAACCCCATTTACTACATTCCTGCTACATTCAACAGGAAATAAATGTTCACTTACAAAAAAGTTAATGCAGCTAGCCTTTAAAAATTAATGACATGAGTGTTCATTTTTCCTTAATTACTTTATTCATTAACAGGTTGCACTTAAAAAAGTAGTAGATATCTCATGTGTTTAACCCCAGAACTCGTAGGTAGAATCAAGTAGATCCCTATGCCTTTGAGGGCAGCCTGGTGTACATACTGAGTTCCAGACCACCAGGCTACAAAGTGAGGTACAGTCTCCAAAAAGAAAAGTGGTACACAATCTACCAACTCAGTGTTGTCTTTTGGTATATACAGACATTTAAATCTATTATGCCCATTTTACACCTGTGTTGGCACTTGCTAATTCAAACCACGTATAGTATCATAGGAAATATTTGGTCTTTGTCTCAAGTTCCATTCAGAAGAGGCTGGAGCAAAACCAGCAAGGGAGTCTAAAAGTGAGGTGCCCTTGTAGCAAAGGCACAAATGTATTGACAAGTTTCAGTAGCATCTTGGGTAAGGACTGAGCAGTTAGCCCTGGGCTGCATGTGCTGTGATGGAGATGGCTGTGGCTGGTTAAGAGACTGTGGAAAGTAGGAATTATTGCTGCTGATTTTACAAAGGTCTCTGGTGACCACTGCTGTGAGGGGAACTGTTCTAGGGAACATGGCTTGCAGAAAGTGGGATATTTATGTGAGAAATAACATTTTTAGTAATGATCCAACAAAGGGGAAAATTGTTAGATGAGGTTGCTGTAGTGCCTTTAGAAAGGAGCTGAGGAGTCGCTGTGTAGCAGATACTGCTAAGTGGATTGACACATGGTAAAAATCTACCATTTCCTCTTTTCCTTCAGTTTTGGGTGCTGAGCTTTAAACATAGGACCTCATGCTTGTTGGGGAGGCTCTCCACAGCTGAGCTTTATCCCTAGCCATGAAGTTTCCTCTTGATGACTTATTTTCTCTGGAATTAGAGCCGGGCCATCAGCTGAGATTGAAGATGGAGTCTTTAAACGTGAGGAAAGATGTGGGTGGAGTGGTTAGCAACAAAAGAGAATGAACCAAAAAAAAGTTGATTTCTAGGTAGCATTAAGAATTAACTTCAGCTGTCGATCCAAAGTTCGTGAGATCCTTTGAGCTTGGTTCAGTTGTCTCTGTAGATTTCCCCATCATGATCCTGACCCCCCTTCTGCTTGCTCCTATAATCCCTTGTCTCTCTCTTCGACTCCCGGAGCTCCGCCTGGTGCTTGGTTGTGGATCTCTGCATCTGCTTCCATCACATACTGGATGAAGGTTCTGTGATGACACTTAGGGTGTTTACCAATCTGATTACCAGGGTAGGCCAGTTCAGTCACGCTCATTGCTGTGGCTAGTAGTTTAATCTGGGGTCATCCTGGTGGATTCCTGGTAGAACCTGCGTGGGACTGGACTGGACCCTCTGCATACTGGAGAGTTGTGTAGCTGGATCTGTGTGAGGAGCCTCTGGCAGTGTGATCAGGGTCTATCCCTCATGCATGAGCCAGCTTTCTGGATCTTATCACCTATGGTCAGACACCTTGCTCACTTGATGCAGTGGGGAGGGGCTTGATCCTGCCTCAACTGAATATACCAGGCTTAGCTGTCCCTTCATGGGAGAACTTAGCCTGTTGAAGGAGCGAATGAGGGATGGGGGGTGGAGCGAGAGGAGGGATGAGGGGGAGATCTGTAATTGGTATGTAAAATAAATAAAAAAAATTTTTTAATTTTAATTCAACAAGAAATAAAAAAAATTAACCTCAGATCTATGGCCCTGAGAACTAAAGGAGACCAATCTGAACGCCTTAAAGGAGACCAATCGGAATGCCTGTTTTTCGGGCCATTTTCAGCTATGCAGGTGTGGCCTAGGCAAAGACATAACTGCTGCTCTAGTGTAAGAGTGGAGGGAGGAAGCTGAGTGGGTGTCTGCAAGGGAGTGATTACAGTGGTTAGCCGTGGACCGCAAATTGAGTAGGGAGATGTGCTATTGAAAATAGGCTTGTCATTTAAATTTTGAATATGTAAGGCTAGTAGACCATGACTCTGTGTGTGTGTGTGTGTGTGTGTGTGTGTGTGTGTGTGTGAAATCTTATTTTTGTTTTTTGTTTCTTTTTTTTCTTTCTTTTTTTTTTAAAAGATTTATTTATTTATTCATGTATTCTATGTATATGACTGCTCTGTCTTCATACACACCAGAAGAAGGAATCTGATCCCATTACAGATGGTTGTGAGCCACCATGTGGTTGCTGGGAATTGAACTCAGGACCTCTGGAACAGCAGTCCAGTACTCTTAACTGCTGAGCCACCTCTTCAGACTGTGTGTAAAATCTTGTATATATCAGCATAAAAATTTCATGTCTGATTCACAAAATGTTCTTTTCCATAGATAAAAAAGAGGAGGACATATTGAAGTTTTACTAAGGCAAAAATAATAGTCTCATCCATTGACTTACTTTTTGTTTATGAATTTGTTTGTTTGTGAAATAACTTGACTCCCCAAAGGAAGCTTTCTGCTTTGCTTGAAACTGGTGGATTTACTTGGCCATTCCCACGTAAAATCAATTTTCAGAAAAACAAAAGCCTCACAGATTTTACTTGCTTAAAAACACTCCAAGTTCATATTAACTAACATGTCTAAAGAATTCTGCCATCTAACAACAGCTCTTTCTGGTCCACTTTACTCCCTATTCTTTCTACATAATTGAGACCACACTTTACATATAATTTTATTTCCTGTGTTTTGCACTTAACAAATGAACACTACGAGCTCTCCCGTGTTATTTATAGCTGTATAAATACCAATTTCAGAGTTCTCCACGTTCCATTGTGTAGCTGTGCCAGCATTTGTTTCACTGCTTTCATACTGTTGGAAATTAGGATGTTTTTGATTTTTAAAACTCAATTATTTTTAATCATAATTTAGGGAGCATTGTTATTTCTTAAAATGTAGAAAAAATAGTATTGCCAAGAGAGAGTATGATAATTTTTAAAAGTTGAATATCGCCAAATTAATTTGCAGAACTGTATTAAGATACTTTTAAGCAATGGCTAATTGGTTAGAAAATTTTTGGCTAATTTGACTTGAAAAATGCTCTTACTGGTTTTTTACTTTGATTCTTATAAGGGTCAATATTTTCTGTGACACCAATTAGTTATCCAAGTGGAAAATTTAATCCCTACTTCATATAAATTAGTATAAGACTAACCAAGAACTTAAATATAAATGGCAAATTTTTTTGGTAGAAAATACAGGAAAAACTGTATTTCAGTGTCAAAAGGATTTCTGGAGGAAAAAAAGGGTCAAATAATAAGAGAGTGCAAAAGAGACAGAGTCAGAGACAAAAAGACAGAAAGACATAATCATTATGTAGCAAGGGAAAATGCAGAGACAAAGCAGAAAACAAGGGAATCTGTGGGACTGATACAGAGAGATTTCTAGGCATCTAGAATGTATCATAAGTTCTTTGTATAATGAAATAGAGCTGTTTAGATGATTCTGAGTGCTCCCTGTTTTTATTAATTGATCATTGGTGTTAAACAACTTGTTTGTGGGTCATGAGGTAGTTCAGTGGATAACAGTGCTCACTATCAGGGTGATGACCCAAATTCTATAGAAAGAACGCAACTCCTTCAGGTTGTCTGATACAAACACATTACATAAAGCAATCCTGACAGCACAACCCACACACAGACACATAAAAATACAAGAATTCAGTTTGACCATAATGATTTCTACATGTTGTCAAATTTAGTTTGCTGATACTGAGTTAAGGCTTTTTGGATCACTGAGGAATACCCACCTCCAGTTCTCTCAGTGTGTTTGGCTTTGGTATCATGTAGTACTGACTGTCTGGAGTAATTTACAAATTCTTTCTTTCTTTATCATCTGAAAGAATTTGTTAGAGATTTCCTGCTATCTATCTTACTAGTTTCTACTTTGTCATTCAGTGTGTGTGTGTGTGTGTGTGTGTGTGTGTGTGTGTGTGTGTGTGTGTGTGTGTCTCTCCCCGGGTTCAGTTCTATATTATACTTGCTACTCTTCAGAATTGATTTAACAGATTTAAGCTGTATGTTCTCAGGGGTCTTCTGTGTGCCATCCACACTGGCCTCAAATTCAGTTGCTGGGATTACATGAGTGCATTTATAAACTGCTTTTCCAAGCACCACTATATATTTTATATTCTGTTTGAAGTACATTTTAAACTTATGGTTTCTAGTCTTTAGTCCATGGATTATTTAGAAGTATTTTGTTTAATTTCCTAATACTTGATGGTTTTCCAGATTTATTTCTGTTGTAGGTGTAAAATTTAGTTCTGTTGTGATCAAAGAACATATTCTATATGATGTCAGTCCTTTTAACTTTGTTGAGTCTTGATTTTGTCTATCCTAAGAACAAAAACTTAGAAACAACATTCAAAGCTGTTGTTAGTGTTCAGTTCCCAGGTTGAGCATCTGTCGTCCAGAGTGTTTGAGACAAGAAGTATTTCTTTCTGATTTTGGATTCTTTTCAGAGTTTGAATATTTGATTGTATGTAATGAGATGACCTAGGGAAGAGTCTGCGATTGAACAAATAATTCTTGTGTTTTGTGTTCCCTTAGTGTACATAGCATAAAGGTGTTATTTTTATTTTTCTCAACCTTTCCTTTTGGCTATAATAAATCACACCAGGTTAGGTGTGAAATTGTCAAAATGTTGGATTTCTGTGTGTTTCAAGTTTCAGATTTTTAGTTTAGGGATCTTCAACCTCCTAACCTCTCACCCTTTCTCTTTTTCTCCCCCTCCCCCCCCCACCCGTCTGCTTCTTTCATCTGTCTTTCATTCTTCTTCCTTCTCTCCCCCCATTCTTCCATCTCTTCCTCTCTTCTTCCTTTCCCTCCCCCTTCACAGTGGGGATTGAACTCATGCTTTGTCAGGAAACTGTTTACTAGTGAACTGGGAGCCTGCCTTATTGAAATCTGTAAGTATTATTGAATTGTTTATTTCTCCTTTCACATCTTTACTTTATGTACTTTGGGGTTTAATGTTAACCACATATGCATTTATAGTTACTATATCTTCATGATATATCAACCTTCATTTCATTTTAAGATGTCTGTTCTCTAGTAGTACTATGTTTAAGTCTCTAGTAGTACTTACTCTCTTAAAGCCTGTCTTTTTTCTGATGTTAATTGAGCTATTTTAGCTCTCTTGGTTACTCCCTTGGTATATTCTTTTGTATCCTTTCAAATGATATGCATCATTCGTATTAGAGGAATCTTATAGATAGCATGTCTTAGTTTGTTTTCTGTTTCTGTTGTAAAACACCATGGCCAAAAGCAGCGTGGAGAAGAAAGGGTTTATTTGGCTTACAGATTCTGGTTTAGAGTCCATTGAGAGAAGTCAAGATAGGAACTCAAGGCAGGAACCTGGAGGCAGTAACTGAAACAGGAGCAATGTGGGATTGCTCTTATTTACTGGCTTGCTCTCATGGGCCTGCTCTCTGTACAAATCACGACCACTTACTCAGCAGTGGCCCTACCCACAATACCCACATCAATGTCAATCAAGAAAATGTGCTGAGATGGTCCCTACTTTTAATCCCAGTACTCTGGGAGGCAGAGGCAGACCAGGCTCAGAGTTCAAGGCCAGCCTAGTGTACATAGTGAATTACAGTGCTACACAAGAGACATTATCTCAAAAAACAGCCTCCCCCCCCCCAAAAAAAAAAGAAAGAAAATGTCTCCATAGACTTGCCTATATACAATCTGATGGAAGCATTTCCTCAGTTGAGGTTCTGTTAATCCCACTGATCAAGAATAAGACCACTACCACAGTTTAAAGCCAAATTTGAAGCAAGCTTTAATTAAATACTGGCCAGTTGGATGGGCTCTGGCTAGGTCCAAACAGGTTCCTGGGAAATGGCCTCAAGTCATGGTTTGTAGCAGCTTAAGAAGGAAAACCCATAATTCATTGCATTTCCCATCAGGTCCAGTCAGGGGCAAGCATACATCTTGACATACCTCCAGCCTATATCCAATTTGGGCAAGCATATATCCTGATGTATTTCCTGCCTGTGAACCAGGTCAAGCAAACTTGTTTGGGGGAGTGAAAAAAGTGTGGCTTGTTATCTCCCATAAAAAATAGCCTCCAGCATTTCAGGAACTATCTGTCCTTGAGCAAGAGGCTTGCAGATCAGAGACATTTTTGTTTCATGCATCTCTAAGGCATAATAATTAAACCTTAAAATGTAACTTTGGCTCTCATAGTTCCTCTTCCCAGATGACCCTGTTTTGCATCAAGTTGACAAGAAAATAACCAGCATACAGCACATAACTTTCTTTTTTTATTCATTCTAACAGTCCTTTGATTAGGTTAGGCATCTACCAACTTTTTCTGTAAAATAGCAAATATAACTTTTGCATGCTATAGAACCTCTTAGCTCCTTGTTTTGAGGAGGCAACCATAGACAGTTTGTGATATAGAAGTGTGATAGTTGCTTGATAAAACTAATTTACAGGCACAGAAATTTGAATTTCATATAATTTTCTCATGTCATAAAATATTGTTCTTTTGATTTTAGCCAGCTAGTAGTAATACCATAACTATTTTTCCTTGATGAACATACAAAAAGAGTGATTAGCCCAGTTTGCCCACAGAGTACATTTTGGGCCATAATACTTTAAAAGTTTAGTCCATTTACATTTATTGATGTCACATTTACATCTGTCATTTTGCCAGTTTTTAAATTTACTTCATTTTATATTTCTTCCTATGATAGGGAACTCTTGTGTTAAATACATCTTTTAAATGTTAACTTCAGATTCTCAGAGTACTTTGTGACTACATCATAGGCCCTTAGTTATTTCTTACCACAGTGTACTTCAAAATCATGTTAATTCTGGTAAAAATATAAACTTGCCCTTTCCTATCCTTCTGATTTTTTGTGCTCTTTTGCATACTTTGTATCTGTGTGTGTTGTATGTTGCATCTGCATGAGTACAATTGATTTATATTTTGTTCTTTAAAGCAGAGAAATGAGAGGATTTAAATTAACCTTTACTTTTATCATTTCTAGTCATTGCCAAATGACACTTTCTCTGGAGCATTTTCCTCCTGGTGTGTTTGTAGTTCAGACCTTCTATCACCCCAGCCTCTTTTTAACACATGGATGTTTATGTTCATGCTAATTCTTCCTCCTGATTACCCACATTGCTTTGGCTGTAGAATTCTTGGTAGCAGAATGTCCTTCAGCATTTGAATGTGCCATCCCAGGCCCTTCTGGCCTCCTTTGTCTCCTTTATATCTGTGCTTTCCTTTCTGATGAATCCTTCCTCTCTTGCTCTCAACCTTGCCATCTCCTGCATAGATTGCTTTCTCCAGACTTCAGTAATGTTCCTGAGCATGTATCTTAATACTACTTGACATATGAGCTCAGCTTCAGTTACTTCGTGGGGGAAAGGACTCACAAGCCTCCTTATTGCATCATGCTACAGGTACCCCCTAGGAATATTACTGTTTTTGCCTGTATTTCTGGATGAGGAAACATACTGTAGGGCATGCAGAACATTAGGAAATAAGTGGTCTTGTGAAATGACCCAGGAAGAATGGCTTATCTGTGTACTTGATCTCCCTGTGAATTGTCCTACTTCATTCATGTCAATACATTGAAATAAGTGGTCACTTCTAAGTCATTCACCAGCTTTCAGTGCTTGCATGTTATTCAGAGGAGTCCTTGTGAACTTGGGAGACATTATTAAACTGTCTGAGGCTAATTTGGTTTTTTCTATAACATTGTGGCCTTTTTTTAAGTAGAGCTCTTGTGAGGGGGCAGGAAAGTAAATGTCCTTTTTGGTGCATTCTGACTTCCATAGCTGCAGTCATCAGCTCTATAGTCAGCCAATGAGAGGAGATGTATGGAATCAGATCCCTACTGCTAGTTTGAGTCATTGAATGGTGCAGCATCCTAAGTGCTTTTTTATTGTATGTGATTGCTGACATCTTACGTATCATGCTGGAACCTGAAGTCCTGGAGATTAGTGCTTTTGTCCTTCAGCCTGTGTTTTTAACTACTGCTTGTAGCTAAGTCTTCAGACTCTTCTGGGAAGTATAATGTTTTGTCAGTGTCTTGACAGTCATATGTCTTGTAATGATAGAAGAAGTGGTGAAGGCAAAGAAATTGGTATAAATGAAGGAAACCTGTGGAAATCGTATGAGTGATGGAAACCACTGCTTTGGATGAGTTCAGTTGTCAGGTTGTTAAATGTCAGAGATTTGGCTGGATGAGTTGTAAGCTCTAGGGAATAGACCCATCACAGTAGATTGAGTTATGATTGAATTGAAAAGCAGTGCTGAAGTGAGTGTGGGATATATAGAATGAGGTCAGACATGAAAAGGTTGTCTTCATTGTGACATTTAAAACTAGGAAGACTTGGACATGGCTAGGCAGGGTTTGAGGGGAGTACCTTTGGCAGAGCCTTGTCTTGTCATACACTGTTCCACTTTGGCAGATAAGGTGGCTTGGAGTGATTGTTACTGAAAGTAACACTGAATAAGGAAAGTGGGCTTTCTGACCATATTTTCCTATTCTTCTAAGGTGTGACTATTGTTGTTCATGTATCACCTGAGGTGTTTAATGTGCCAGTTTAGATGTAAACACACACACACACACACACACACACACACACACACACACAGAAAGAGGACCATTTTTGCATTTTGTTTTATAGCTTTCTTTTTCTCAATAATGTTTTTTGAACATCTTTCTTCACCTGTATGATTTATTTAACTAGTCCATAGATATGTGATGTGTGTGTTGTTGTTGTTTCCTACAGTTTAGGTTAAAGCTGTGTTTTTTATAAGATGAATTATGCATTATAAAGGTGTGTGTAGTGATTAAGTAGACTTTTGAATCAACTGATCAGGTGTGTGATTTTAGGCAAGTGTCTTATGGTGTTTGTGCCTCAGTTTCCCTATTTATTTAATGGGACTATTACTACTTACTACTAGCTGCAAGCATTTGGCCTACTGGTATATGGCATTGCTTTAAGGACATCTCATATATAGGCATATTTTAACTTCATAAGTTACATAAGTGGTAGATTTAGTTATGTCTAAGATCATATCATTGCTAAGGAGAGCTGAGATATGCATAAACTCAGTTTAGTTCCACAGTGTCATAACTGCTTCATCAAATTTACAAAGCTCTAAGATGATAAGAACTGATGAAACCGTGTATTCAAAAGACTTAGTTTCTGTCACTCTGGCAATATGTAGCTTATATTTACCACCATAAACAATGTAAGCAGCAGTAGGTTTGTTTAAACCAAATGATGGGAGGACATTGTTGTCTTATAGCTTTGGCAAAGAACATATCCAAAAGACAAACATGTCTACTTGGTTAAAGTATGTATGAATTGTTTTTCAAGTAATCTTACAAAGCTGTTTCCAAATTCTATTTAATCGCCAAGCTATAGTGTTGAGTTTGGGATGTCCTTCCCAATATCATGCTGCTGATTTAACTTCCCCAGTTCCTGGGTGAAGGTATTATCTTTATTTGTATAATTTGTTTTTATTTTATGTTCATTGGTGTTTTGTCTGTGTGAGAGTATCAGAAGCCCTAGAACTAGAGTTACAGACAGGTGTGAGCTGCCATGTGGGTTTTTGGAATTGAACCCAGGTCCTCTGTAAGAGTATCCAGTGCTCTTTACCACAGAGCCATCTTTCCAAGTGTTCAGTATTATCTTTTTTTGTTAAATACTAATTTTTTATTTTATATATATATATATATATATATATATATATATGTGTGTGTGTGTGTGTGTGTGTGTGTGTGTGTGTGTGTGTGTGCCTGCCTGAATGTAGATGTGTGTACCACACATGTGCAAATGACCTCAGAGGCCAGATGAGGGTCAGATCCTCTAGAACTACAGTTCCAGAAGATTGTGAGCCATCTGATAAGGCTCTAACTAAATTCGAGGC